CCGAATGGACGATGGCCGAATTCCGAAGGACGTGCTGTACGGAGAACTAGCAACCGGTGCCAGACCTGCGGGGAGGCCCGTCCTCCGCTACAAAGACGTCCTCAAGCGTGACATGAAGGCAGGAGGGATCGACCAAACAAGCTGGGAGACAGTGGCAGCCGACCGCAGCAGATGGAGGCAAGCCGTGAAGACAGGCGTCAAAACCAGTGAGAAGAGGAGAGAAGAACAGTGGGAGGAGAGAAGACAGCGTAGACGACAGAGACCAGCACAAACCTGCACACAACCTGACGTTTTCACCTGTGTCAACTGCGGCAAAGTATGCCGCTCCAGGATCGGCCTCTACAGCCATAGCAGGCGATGCATGAAGACATCCTGACCCACGGCGCATATTCCATCGTCTCAAGAGACGAAAAGGATGCCAACAATATTGTAAATGCTGTCTTAACATTACAGTTTATTATTACGTATTACAGTATTTACTACGTTTTAATGGTAGGTGCACCAGTGCAGGTACAATGTATGTAGGTGTAACATTACATGTATCTTTAAATTTTCATCTTATCTGATGGTTTTTTGATGTTGCAGAACAGGAGTTAGGGTTAGAGTTAGAGAAAGTTTTAGGTGTTTTCTCCAGGCGTTTGAACACAGTATCTGAACAGGAGTCAGTGTTAGTGTTAGATATTTAACTTTATTGAACTTATTTGTCATTCCCAGGCGTTTGACGTTGCTGAACAGGAGTTAGGCATCCCTGCCCTGCTGGACCCAGCTGATATGGTGGCTCTGAAGGTTCCAGACAAACTCAGCATCATGACGTACCTGTCACAGCTCTATAACTTCTTCAGTGGGCCGGGACTCGGTAAGGAAACTGGAGTACAGTCAGGCCTAGAAAAAAATGTTTCCCATGGGAAAACTGCTGATGCTAGACTTTTTGGGTGGACAACTGCAAATTTTTTCAAGCTGATCAACCTTTTCTAGCTCCATGATCTGACACCTGAGTGATGAAATGTTGTACAAAGTTTCCTGACATTGACATTGAAAATAAAAGTGTGCTCATGAATGCAAGTTTTACTTTCTTAGACCGTTATTTTTTTTAGTATTGAACAGGAAATAAAACATTTTTTTCTAGGCCTCATACCAGTTTATTCTCAAAAGTACAGCCAAACCAATTTTCTTACCACTAACTGTAGCAACTAGAGATGCATACAATTAGTTTCAAAATTAATAGTAAACATAAATATGTATCTTAGTTACAATCAAACTATAATTTCATATAGGTGCTGTACGCAAATGCTTAAATTAGTGCAGAGGTCAAAGCCACAAGTAAGGAGACCAGCCTTGAAACGCAATGCTTTAAGATTTACTGTAAGCACAGGTTTCAGGGTGCCTCGTCTCAAGTTCTATTCTGCAACAAAGGAGCTACTGAACGGTGTCTGTTTCTCATGCTGTGGTCTTGTTGTACAGTCTAAAGAACAACATGGCTGGCCGCCTTACATTTAAATAGATTGGGTAGATTGTGTCATGCTGTACGCTGATACACATTCATACGTGTACTTGCATTTACTACAGTATATCATACGGGGGCCGTGCTAACACTTGATAACGTGTTCCGGACCGGGCTGTACTTAACTGTATGGCCAGGGCTTCCATAGAACGATTCAAACGCGTTTTGCCGTAACAGCGTGTGCCGCTTGAAAAAATTTGAATAAAAGATTTGGTTCTTGGAATTGATGTTGTTGCATTGGTTTAGGTACATGAGTTTCCTTCATTTCTTGGGTAGGTGTGACATAAAAACAAGACAACACGGTGTATTCCGCATCGCCCTCGTTCCCAGCCCTCCCGCGAGTTGGATCTCCCTCCGGCCTTCAGGCGATCCGACCCGCGGTCGGGCTGGTACCTCGGGCGATACGGAATGCACCATGTTGTCTTGTTTTCTATATACGTATCACTATTACTGTTGAACTCTAGGGCTAGGTCCAGGATACATAAAGAGTGTCTTTAGTTTAAGTCTCAAGTCATGTACGTTCTTGTTATTTCCAGGAGGAGCGAGTAAGGGCGGAGTGAAGCGTCCTCCTGCCAGCCTGTCTCCGGCTCACGGCACCAAGAAGTCCAAGGCTCTGGACGATGATGATAACCCCTTCAAGGTAACGCGCTGTGATTGGCCAGCAGGTCATGTCAATCATCCAATGACTGGCTGTGATTGGTCAATAGGTCATATCAATCATCCAATCAGATTTTTTTAGATCACCTGCAGGCCTAATATTTAGATTAATCAGAAATCTGATTGATGACATTTGGGCAAAATTGAGTTCAAGAAAAATGACTCAACTTTGATTTCAATAAATAAAAAAATAGCGCGGCTAGTTGACCGACTTGATGATGATAATGATTGATTTCAATTCAATTTCATTTATACTTTTTTAATTGCAGTGTGAAAGGTGAAAGGCATGTTAACAAAATCTATTCGCAATAATCTTTTTCTAAAAAAAATCAATGTACAGTGAGTGATTGATTTTATACCGGTATATTGTCATGTAACATCAAGAACAATAATTATTAAATTATATAATTATGTTACCAATCATTTGATGGTCACAAATCACAGTTTAAGTTCTGCTATCATTCACGATTGGATGGTTGATTCAATTGGGACATATTTTATCAGAACCAGAAACAAGCATTGTTCATATTATGGTCTATTGCAGGATGTCCTTGCAAAAAGTTTCTGTTCAAAGTGATCTTTTGAAAGATAGATCTTTTGAAAGATAACTTCTTGGTCATGAAAATACGTGCCTGTAAAATTATACTTTTAATACTTGGCTTCCTGTTGTTAGATTCATATGGACAATGCTTGTCGTCTACACTTGTTTGTGTTGCTTATAATTATTATTACTGACTATTTTATTTCACAATTAATGGTGGTGGGTTGTTCTTTCCTTTCCCTGTATTTTGTGTTCTGTTTTGGTGTACTGGTTTGATCAGGCCTACCTAGCACAAGAACCAGTGGTGCAAGAAACTAACAAGGTAACGTTGAACAGCTAAAGAACTGGCACCGTGCTGTCCAGAGTTTCTTTTTTTGATGCACGTGTGATGATGCTTATGCAGTGAAAATTTGACTGAAATTATCTTGAATGTGATTTAAAGTATGAATTTTCTGTCACCAAATGGTCTGAATCAACTTGTCATGATCAAAATGGGCTTAATGAGGTGTGTGTTAACAAAACATTTAGGGCTGTATTTAAGTGTAGATTTAAAAGTGTGATTGGAATAGCATGTATTTTGTATGCAGAAATTATACTATGAAAAGTTATATATGCATGCACACTTTCAAAATGCATCTTGTTCTATTTTGGGTCATTCAAGCGAAAAGTCAGATTTCTCCAAAACAGCCGATTTCTTCCAAGACTCACAGAGTATGTTACTGAGTAGTGACTCTTGATTTTCAGATTTCCGTTTTGCATTGTTTTTTTTTATGTTGGCTGCCACCTTTTAGTTTTACTTTGGCGAATACTGTCCACTGCACACTAGTCTGTGCACATACACATTTGCCGTGCCATACACTTGTTTGTTGTCCAAGACTTTTAGTGTTCTGTATGTATTGCCTTAGTATTAATTGGTCCATACACAGAACACAACTTATACGCTTGTATGTCATTTTGTGTTGACTACATGTATGTACATCTTTGCACTCTGTACAGTATCTATGTAGCTCACCCCCACTCTGGCTGTGCACAAGTATGATATCACAGCAATTAAATGCACGTGCATGATCATAGAACAAGTTAAAAAACAACATGGTCCCCTCTTATTAATCCCTTATCCTTATTAGATCATTTCCCCATCAACCATGTACTGTCCAGTCATAGATAATAGGTACCCAGGACAAAACCCACCTAATATATAATTGCATGCCATTATGCATGTATTAATATGGAGGTTGGGTAAAATTTGTAATGCTTTTCCTGTAGAGACCTAACTTGCCACTGGCAATACTACCCTTATGTAGTCCCAATTTTTGCCAATTCATGTGTCCTTTTATTATTTCTAACCTTTAGTTAACCCATAGTTTCCCATAATTACTAAATTGTCTTAATAGCCATTTTATCAGGATGTCATTTACATTGTATAGTGTAATATAGACATAGAAATAATACACTTAAAATCATGGTAACCTCATCTAGACCCCACTTTTGTAGTCGAAGAAGCACATCCTTACCATATTATACATTTCACCGAAATGTAATGCAGGGCTCGAAATACTGGGTGCATGTACAGCTTAGTGCACCCAAATATTTTTGTAGGTTTACGTACATTGTATCTAAAGATGTCAAATACAGCATTAACATCCATGTAAGTGCCAGGAAAAAAATAGTTTTTGCTGACATTCTATTTATTTCCTATCTTATATGGTGCACCAAAAAAAAAGTGTGCACCCAATATTTTAGGTTGGGTGCACCAGTGCACCTAATTCCTAAAAATGAATTTGGAGCCCTGTAATGTATGTAATGTAATACGAGCATGATTCAGTTTGATGTAGAAGCATGTCATATATGTGCATGCCACGTGTGTGTGTGCATGCCATCCTCTAGTACAGTGCAGTAACTGCATGGCTGTTAACTGGTTCTCACCACAGACAGAAGACTACAGGCGACACAAGCGGACGCCTTCTCCCTCAAACTTCTCCAAGAGTCAGTTATCTTCTCTGAAAACCAGCCTCAAGGAGGTAGGAGTGGACCACAATTGATAAAACAACAAGAACAGACTCTATGAGATTTAACACAACCTGCATGTGTACTACTACAGTCATGTATTTCTCCAATCACTGCATACTGCTATTCCTCCAATCACATGGTGGTAGAACTAAACACATAAGTTTACCATCATCATCCACAACTTAACTATTATATAACTAAGGCCACACCAATTTAATTTGTTGTTTCTCGGATTCGCCTCTTCATTTTTTTCCTGATTTGCAAAAAAAAAAAAATTCAGAATCAACTGCAAAATGCTCATATTTTGCCCTGAACAGTTGAAAACAGTCCTTTTCTTCCTAGTCATTACAGTTATTCCATCTTTCAATGCAGTGGTATCATTAGAAGTTCAAAATTCATTGTTTAAATTTAGAACCAGCCTTTTGTGTTGGTTTCATGGCTCCTATCGTAGCATTTGGGGCTATAATAGGATGCCTAGATCTGTTTTTATTTTTTTTTTTTCGCCCTGTCGCTTCATATTTTTCCTGAAAAAATCCGAGAACCAACAAATTAAATTGGTGTGGCCTAAACACATTACTACAGACTGGGGGCAAAACATGACAAAACAAACTGGATACTGACCCATCTACATGTACTACTCCTATCCGTATTGCCACAGACTAACCCTAAACTCACAGAGCTATGAACAAATTATTTTCCCAAGGGTTCTGTTTATTTTCCATCTACAGCTACAGGCTCTATGATTTACATATCTCAGTATTTATATGAGAACTGAGTTTGTGGGACTTGGTATATAATAATATTATTATACAAGCTCATGTGCTGTTGTGACACCAGAGTGTTGGATTCCTGTCTCTCTCTCACACACACATGTGCACACAGCTCAATTTCTATAACCTCGCTAACGGTGACAGCCAACTGAAAAACACTGCAAAAACAGCTCTCACTCAGAAAAAGGAAAAGACATACTGTCTATTAACAGAGGGTTACTCTTATTCTTTTTTTACAGACGGTATATGACTTGTATTCCATTCAAATGTATGATAATATCTTATGAACAAGATCTGTCCATATACCCGGAATTCAATTATATACTGATTTCTTAGCAATTCTTGCTGCGTGCCATGGGATTTCACAGGTCCAGAGAAAGACATATTTGCAGGAATGGGTTGACAATAGTGTGATGTTGGGCACATACATGTACATAGTTCCCCAAGCAAGGTTTAGCCCTCTCAAAGACCCCTACAGACCAGGGTCTGTCCTTGATTTTTGATTTTCTGCCCATGACATTGAGAATGTATTTCAGTTCCCCAAAGCAAAGTTTAACACTCCCAAAGAGATCCACAGATCAGAATGCATCCTTAAAATTATAGACTGAAGTGTTACAGTGACTGGTGTGGTTTTGGTTTGAAGTCTTCCAGTTCCCCAAGCAAAGACAAGCACTATCAAAGAGCAGGGCTCTCCCCAAGCAATGGAGCAAGGGTGCTTCCCCTCTCCCCAAAATCCTTAACCTTTCCGAAAATGTTCAAATTTAGGGTTTTCTCTTAGTATTTACATGAAAATTTGCTGATTTCTCAACTGATTAGGGATCAGAATTCATGGGGAGACCCCTGAAGAGCTTCACAGATAAGAATTTCTCAGAATTTGACTGTTTTGATTGTTCCCTTAGGACATAGAGCACAGATCAGAATGCATCAGATTCCTTAATTATAAACTGAAGTGGTACAGTAACAGGTGTGATTTTGGTGTGAAGTCTTTCAGTTCCCCAAGCAAAGACAAGCACTCTTATAACAGAGCTTCACAGAAAAGAATTTGTGTCAGAATTTGACTGTTTTGATTTTCTGCTCAGGACATAGAGCAGTTCATGCCAGCGGAGGTTGTCCAGCGCAGCGACAGGAGCTGCTCGGTCTGTGACAAGTACGTCCACATCGTGGAGAAGGTCTTCGTGGACGGCAAAATGTACCACAGGAACTGCTTCAGGTGAGAAAAAAACTGGAATGTAACTTTCGAAGTTCAAAAAGTGTAATGTAGTTCCATGTACATTTGTAGAAGCATTTTTATGTACATGACGTGTACAAAATGGTGAGGAAGTGACCAACTTTGCCTTTAGACCAATATGTTGAGCCACAGTGTTTGAATCCTTGCTGGTGTTGCTTACATGTACCTACAAGCATTGTAGGGGAAGGTTGGCAGTCCTTTAACCTCTAACCATTTTCCCCTTTGGCTACGAATTCTCTATTCATCTGAATCTGATATTGGGTGCAAGTTTAGGTAGTAGAAGAAATAACATAAAGCCATTGTCCACTTTCTATTATGCCTTGAGGATGTTTATTTTGCACAAGGCTGAATCTGACTATTGCCAGCAAATTGTGCCCTTTAAAACTTTTATCTGTAAGTCTAAACTGTCTGTTGTTGTTTTTATTATTCTGTAGATGTAGCATCTGCAAAGTGAGTTTGAAGGCGGGAGCGTACAAGGACGGCGGCGCGCCGGGTGAGCTCATCTGCAGCCGGCACAACCAGATTGCCGAGTACCGGACTCCCGAACCAGAGAAACCGAAACCAGCGCAAGAAAAACTTCCCGAGACGCCGCCGGAAGTCGGGGTGACGGTGGACGAGGCGCCGAGCGTGGCTGCGAAAGCTCGGGCGAGGTTCTTTGAGGAACAGGCGCAGCAGAACTCAGACGAGGCCGGGGCCGACCCCTTCGCAAAACGGTATTTTATTATGTTTTCCGAAGGAAGACATATTGTTTTTGCTCTGTTTCTTCCTCTTCTTCTTCTCCAAACACTGACCTCTGACCTGACCAATGACATGATTTGCTGACATCTGTCACCATGGTGACTGGTGTTGGGTTACATAATGTTGCAATTTCATGGTCTGCTCTGCTCCTGTCACCATATACTAGTAGTACATGTATGTGTATGTGAATTGAGTAACAATTGACAGAGCAGACCATGTCCGAAGGCAAACATTATATGCATTTTGCTTTGCAAATGTTGCTTCTCTAGTTCTCTTTATTTCGATACCCTTTAGCCAAAAGGCTAATCTTCCAGGGTTCATTCGATATTAACATATGACTGACCAGCACTCTGTACAGCATAGTTAATGTACCGATGGTGAATTTGTCTTTAATCAAAAGCCAACCCACTTGCAGGTCTGCGCAGAAGGCCAAGCAGGAGGCGGAGGACAAGGAGAACAAGAACATGCTGCCGGGGATCCTAAAGAACATCGCCGACGCCAAGAGGAAGAACCAGGCAAAGCAGGTGGTAGAGGAGCCTCCTCCCGCGAAGCCACCGCGCTCACCGCACGGACTCAAGAACGACAACGGGAACAACAACTCCCCTCCCGCGCCGAGAAAAGACTTAAACCACGGCGATGTGGTCATGGCAGACGTGGCAGAGCTCACTCCCCCACCGAGGAGAAAGAAATCCGACAAGACGAAAAAGACGAAAGAAGGGGACAGGAGCAAGTCGCCCGCCCCTCCTAGTCCTAAAGTTCAGCCTGTAGCTCCAAAATCTGGTCCAGTACCCACAAAAACTGACGCAGTACCCACAAAAACTGACGCAGTACCCACAAAAACTGACACAGTAGCCACAAAAACTAATGCAGTACCTATGAAAACTAATGCAGTGACGCCTAAAGTTGACATCAAAGACACTAAACAGCCAGAGAAACTAAAGCCACAGGAAGCGGACACGACAAAACCACCGAGAGACGCGTCTCCAAAACCTGCAGAAAGGAAAGCTCCGAAGCCGCGACCGAGAAAGGCTCCTGGGGAAAACGGGAGCGACGCTTCTGCTCCGTTAGAAGCCCCAAAGCCTAAACCTCGGCCCCGCAGCGCAGAACTTTTAGCAGAACCTGTAGCAAAGCCGCCAACAGACTCTTATCCAGAAGACAAAAATCCGTTCGAGGACGAACCGAGTCCAACAGAAGTGCAATCGCAAGTACTGGAAAAAGTTGCAGTTGAAGCCAAGAGTGGTAGCCCAGAAAAAGTCCCAGTAAAAGAGGAACCCAAAATTCCTAGTTCGGTAGAAACTAAATCAAAGGACGCTAGATTAGCAGAACCGAAGCATAGAGAAACAACAAATCAACCCAAACAGGAACAAAAGTCTCCACCCCAGCCCAAACCAGAACAGTCTAGTCAACTTTCCGAGGAAAGCAAAGCTCCGCAACAGAAACCTGAACCAGCCACAGTCAAGCCCGCCACAGAAGCTCCGCCCGCGGAAACAAGCCGCCCCGAGCGCGCCAATCCCTTCGACACGAAGCCGTCAGACCGGCCGAACCCCTTTGATACGAAGCCGCCCGAGAGGAAGCTGACGCGGCTGAAGTGCAGCCTGAACCCATTTGACGAGCCGAGCGATGAAGAGGAGGAGGATTCCAGGTCCGATAGTCTCAACCCCTTCGACATCAGTGACGATGACCTCTCGGGTAAGTCATTAACTACTGGATAATGCTTTTCTCAGGAGATGGTTTTTGCATGCAGCTGGAAACGGTTGCAGTCCTTAGGATGGACCTTGGTTAACTAATACCAAAAGAAAAGAGCTACTGGGATTTCTCTGGTACCGGTATAGTTACACCTTACACGTAACGCCTGTTTTTGTGAGTCAGTGAGTGTTTTGTTGGCTTAGCTACTGCTGACTTTCACTGAACGTCTGCTTTTCAATATGTACATCATTGATAATAAACCTGAGTGTGCATTTTTACAGTCTATTGTAACTCAAAGCGGCTCTTGCTATATAATCAAAAGCCTAAAGTGTATACCAGACTTTCTTCCTTTTGCTGATACTGTCTCGGTGCTGTCAGTTCCCCCCCTCCAGCTGTGCCTGTATGGAACAGGCTTCCTCCTGGCCGCTGTCCTCATGGGCGTGACCTTGACCTCCTCAAGTTCGACCTTGACCTTCTCAAGTTCAGGTCAAGGGTCACTAGACAAGGTCATCTCGCTACCTGGGGGTAAACCTTACTTCAAATCCTGCATCGCTTGAGTGACCTCACTCCTTCCCACTCATCTGTTACTCCTCCTTTGCCAGTTTTTTCTTCAAGCTAACCCTTAACTTTGAATGGCCTTGAGCCTTGTTTTGTCTTGACCGAAAGTAGATTAAAAAGATTTTTGAATAATAACAATATTGCTATGATGAACAGCCATAAGCTATGAACAGCTGATCAACATGACAATACACATGTGCACGTGTATACTACATGGTACAAAAGCAAAACCCATGTTCTTAACATGTACACAATATTTGAGCAGGTAACAGGTACTTAGAAAAATACATTACTTTTTTGTACAATTTCCTGTAAAAGGATCAAGTAGGTGATTTGTTCTCCCATCGGCATCATCAATACTCTAAAGAGGTACCTAACAAAGTTTAGATTCCACAAAAATTCACATCCTCCTAAATTTGTGTCTGTTTGTATAAGTTTCTTTAGTGTTGTGATTTTTTCCTCCAGACCTGTGAGTTGTTTATTATCCTTTGTTCAGCCAGAGCTGTGAAGACACAGGTGCAGGCACCGGTGGAAGTTTCCATCCACACAAGCCCTCCTGTAACACACGAACATGTAACAAACAAGAGGGGTAAGGTTTGGAAAAAAGGATCCATCACATCAAAAATGATATAACATCAAAAATGATCACATCAATATGACAAAACCACAATGAAAACTCACAAGTCATATTTATTATGATGTCACAATTGTTGCAGTCACCTGCATAATTAAACAGTGGGTGAATTGTACCAGAAAATGAACTATTGAAAAATCAGCCACATTAAATAATGGCTATTCACTTATCAATTTTGGGGTGAAAAGCATTGTTTGATAATTGCACTGGTGCAGCTAAAAATGACATTGAATAAACAAATGACTCGTACCTGAGAATTTTTATCTCAATGTGATTACCTTCGCCGAGAAGGTTATGTTTTCAGGGGCGTTCGTGTGTCTGTGTGTGTGTGTGTGTGTGTGTGTGTGTGTGTGTGTGTGAGCACGATAACTCAAGAAGGCTAAGATGGATTGTCTTGATATTTGGTAGGTGGGTAGGTCTTCATGAGACGTGGAACTGATTAGTTTTTGGGCCCCCTAGCAAATTGTTATGGTACTGCAGCTGAACTTCCGGTTTTGATATCTCGTGATCTGGACATAGTAGGGTCACTAAATTTGAATGGTAGGTAGCTCTTTGGCTGGGGAAGAAGTGACATGAGTTTGGGCACCCTAGCGCCTTGTTCTGGAACTGCAGAAGCATTCGTTGAAAAATATTCGAAGGAGGATAACTCAAGAACCGACTGACGGATCATCATGATTTTTGGTATGTGGGTACCTTTAAGAATGCTTGACATATTAAAATGATAGTTATGCAAATCAGCAGCTAATTAGCATAATTAATGAGGAAATGCTATAACCTGCTACCTTCCATGATATGATTATTCAAACATGTGGCATGTGTAATTGTGAAGAAGAAGAACATTGGCAGATAGTGTTTTTGCAAATGAATGCCTAATTTGCATAATTAATGCAAATTGTCAACATTCGCCAAGGCCCAAGGGTAACATCATTTGGCGAAGGTATGAGATCGTGGAACTCTAGTTGCTCAATGTTATCACCAAAAGGTTGGCGCATAGCATACTTTAATTCCTGAAGCTTGGAGCAGTTATCAGTGAAGAAGGCCCAAGAATCTAGGCACGTGCAGCAATGTGTGACAATGAAAGCAGTGAACAGGCAGCCAAGCTAACTAAACCTTACCCGACGTATCCCCTGTTCCCCTAGATGTTGACCTGGACGAGCCTGGCCCAGACGACGCGGGTCCGCCCGCGGCCCGGGTGCCCGAGGGCCCAGTGGAGCCCCAGCGGCGCAGCGCCTTCCCCGAGGTGAAGAGGAAGAAGAAACGTCGCGCGCCAGCGCCGCCCGGTACCAAACCCGGCCTCCCACCGGTCATGGCCGTCAAACCTCAGCCTTCAGTCAGGTAATTTGATACGTTCACCTTCGCTGAAGAAAACGTGCTTTTGCTCAGTTTGCTCTTCCTCTTCTTCTCCAAACAGTAACCTTTGACCTGGCCAATGATTTGTTGACATCAATTTTTGTTGTGGTATAAAAAAGGAGAAAGGCTGGTGTTACACAAAGCTGACTTGTGTGTATTTCTCCCAGAGGAGAGAAGGAGGCAGACATCTCTGCTCCAGACCAGGAGGGTTCCCCGCAGAAGGTCCAGAAGAAGAGACGGGCCCCAGCACCTCCAGTCTACAGGAGACAGGTACCATATCTGTAACAACACTTCATCACTCTCTTTCCGGTTTAACACACAACACTTAACAGAAGGGGTGTGAATGAATTACAGTCCAGTCTTACACAGCTTTTATGCGCTGTACAAAACTGTGTGTTATGGCTAATGGCAGTTTACCAGTTATGCGAAACAAAATTTCATTCGTTCATTCATTTATGCATTCATTCATCCATCCATCCATTCATCCATCCATCCATCCATTCATCCATCCATCCATCCATTCATCATTCATTCATTCATTCATTCATTCATTCAATTTTTTCTGGCTTCACAGATCAACTCGAAGAACCGAGTTCCCCAGGAGGAGATCGACCAGGAGCTTCAGGAGCTGGAGAAACAGCTGACTGAGCTGGAACATCGCGGAGTCAAGCTGGAGATCATGCTCAGACATGGCATGGCCAGTAAGTACCTTTTCTACATGTAGCATCAGCTTCTGTGAAGATGAGACTAGATTAGCCACATTCTTAAATTTAAAAGCATTGTTAACTTGCCGAACCCCAAATCCAGTGCTAGAATGCTACATGTGTACCTCAACAGGGAGATTGATAATGCTGAAACATATTGTTTTTGCCCTGTTTCTTCTTCCTCTTCTTCTCCAAACAATTAAGGTCAATGACCTGAACCAGACGTCTGTCTCCATGGTAACTGGTGTTGGGTTACATCATGTTGCAATTTTATAGCATGAGGGATTTAGACTCCTGTCTGACAGTCATGTATATGTCAACTTTGAATATTAAGAATTAACAGAGCAGACCGTATGCGAAGGTAAACATAATGCATTTGCTTTGCAAATGTTGCCTTTCTAGTATAATGTTAATTATAATAATGTTAATAATTATATATTATATGTTAATAATTATTTCTCTGCAGGCACCATAGCAGGAGAGGATGAGGATGAGCTTCTCTCTGATTGGTTCAGCCTGGTGAACGAGAAGAACAAGCTGGTTCGTCGGGAGACAGAGCTGGTCTACATGTAAGCTCAGCTCTTCAACCCTACATGCATCCCTGATGTGAACCTGATAACAGTAGAAAATGCATATTAAATTATACTACAGCTATACTGCTCAGAGATACTGCTCAGTTTAATTTTTGTGATACTGATATTGTAAAGCTGTGGAGTTCACAGTACATGTAGTGTATAACATCTTCTGTACCTGTATTTATATAGCCGGCATAACCGCCCTTCAGCGAAACACACCTTTACAAGTGCAATAAATGTACTTGGCAAAAGAAAGAATGACTACAACTGCAGTTGCTTTGATCATCTTAGCACAAAATGGTGTATTTTCAAACTACATGTACATGAACAGTTTGATATTACAGATTGATCAAGCTTTCAAAATGTCCAGTATGTCCTTTTTTTGCCCTCTGTACTGAGAAAATTGGTACCTAAATGCTATGCTGACTATTGTACGTACACACTCGGGTTAGATAATTGTTCCCAACTCTAGATCTTGTTCACCCCCCAGTACCAAAACTTAAAACTATAACATTTCATGACAGATTGTTGTTATTGTTCAGTAGTCTTGCGAGATAAGGTATGCTACAGTTTCTAAATCTTTCGGTTCTAGTTCTGATTGTGTCCAGTCATTACAATGTCTTGTGCGTCTATCCAAATAATAGTTCCCAACTCTTTTGTCTCCCCAGCACCAGACAGCAGTCCTTAGAAGACCAGCAGGCGAATGTGGAGTACGAGCTGAGATGCCTCATGCAGATCTCAGGTCAGGCTACAGGAAACCTTCACATCTTCATCCAAAACTGTAATATCATACGCATGCATGCATTCCTCCAACAACTAGTGATGCATACCGGTTCACTGGACTTGGATCCGGACTTGTAAGAATGTTTAGGTTCAAGTCCAAAAAAACCTAAAAGTCAAGAACCGAGTCCAGACTTATTACCATAAAAGACCATTTCACATACCCCTTTTCTTTCCAAACCACCTAGAACCTTCAGTAGATTGTAAAATCTTTGCTGCAAAACGAAGAAAACATTGCCATCGGGCATCGTCAAGTACTGGCCTCTATGTTATGTGGCAAAAGTTTCACCCAGACAACATTGCAAGGTTGCCAACATGCAATTTTGTATATGCCATGGGTTTAGGTCCGGACTTACAAGTCCGGAACTGAACCTAAACCTCTGGACTTGAATCCGGACCTGAACCTAAAATTGGGTTTAGGTATGCATCACTACCAACAACTGTAGTACAGTTCATTTTTCCAGGCTACGCGTATCTCTTTCTTAGTTACCTGTGGGTACCTATATTCATGACTACCAGCTGCAGGTATCTCTATTTGGGCTAGTGGCCACCTCTGAATTAGGACTACCTGGCTAATGTGGCTGTATTTGTTTTGGTAGTCTGTAACTAGCTGTAAAGTTGTTGCTCTGATTTTAAGAATCCTACAGTGTAAACAAAAGGGCCAGCTATCTACTTTGACCATTTTGACTAGTCACCAAGCGTGAACAGGTTTGCCCTTGACTGTGTCTATGTTTTGCACATCTTCCCACCCAGAGGAGAAGAAGAGTATGGGAGAGAAGTCCCGAGAAGCACGGCTGCTGAACAAACTGCTAGATATTGTGTAACAGTAATAGTAAAGAAGCAACAGTAACAGTAAAGAAGCTGTTTGTACACGCCAAGTGTTTTATTCACAGTTATTACATTGTTTGCACACCCAGAGGAGAAGAAGAGTATGGGAGAGAAGTCGCGAGAGGCGCGGCTGCTGAACGAGCTGTTAGAGATCGAGTAACAGAGCAAAGCTTCTAGCCTCCGGATCCGTAGCAGGCTTATAGAACTGGGGGTTTGGTGGTCTTCGGCTGTTTTCTGATTAGCCCAGTTCTGAAAAAATGGGACTAATTCAACCAGGCCGGCTATGTTGTCTATATGCAATCAGAAAATAGCACATAAAAGCTCCCAAAGACCATGAAGACCCCCAGTTTTTGGCATGCTATGAGGCTAGCAAAGCTCCCTGTACACAACCAAGAGTTTTATTCACAGTTATTACATTGTTTGCACATACAGAAGAGAAGAAGAGTATGGGAGAGAAGTCGCGAGAGGCGCGGCTGCTGAACGAGCTGTTAGAGATCGTGGCTGAGAGGAACAGCATCGTGGACAGTCTGGACGAGGACAGGATCAGGTAACACTCAGGAATGGCAGGAAGGTGTCATAAAAAAGTCCTTCCCAAATCAAAGGGCGGTGCGCATCTCCGTTTCTAAACAATGTTGTAGCCCTTGGGCCACACATTTGTGCAACCAATACAGCATAATACATGTAAATCCAAGAGAATTGTTATTCTATGTATACCTAACAATTCTGTTTTCTCCCAGGGTTGACCCTTAAAAATAGTCTGACTAGTTGGGCAACCCTGGCTGTTGTAAGCCAAGCTAAATAAAGAAAATAGAACCACTACGGCAGCATTTCACTAGACTAAGTCCACAACTAGTTTGTGATATGTCTTCAACAGATGAAGTCTTCAAATGTTTGACTTGGCTAGGGATAGAATTCACAATTAACCTTATCTGAACCAAGGCTCTACTCAATCATCAAGAGAGCAACAGTAGACTATTACAGTGTTTTTAGGAACCAGAAACTCATTATTTTGATGGTGCTGCACAAGATTCAAGTGTCACAAAATTAGAACTGTTACTGTACTTTGATATTGAACCTTCTTGTTTCCTTGCAATTCAGGGAAGAAGAAGAGGACAGAGATATACAGGCAATGATGGCAGACAAAGGTACTGTATCATACCCACTGTACTAAACTGCTAACATTCCTAATTCCACTAAAACATTTGTGGCATGCTACAGTATGATAGTGTACTTTGCTACACAAAGCCTAAGACAATGTTCTTGGAATGTCTTGAACAGTATGAACAAGTTTCAAATCTCTCCAATAGACAGCAAAATTGACTGTAACAGCTTTCAGACATACTGCATTTAAAAGTGCTTTTTTTTCTTGCGATGTCAATTTCAGGAGTGCCTACAGGTGACTTTGATTAGGAAATTTAGGATGAGACAAGAACATGTACACATGTATGTTCATCACTTAGTCTTGTAGGAATCGTGGATAGGGTGGGGTGAAGGAAGGTAACAAGGATAGTACCAAATGTAGGTGTGACAACTCAGGTGTAGAGAAGTAGACAAGATTGCGTAGTTGGGAATGGGTTAAGTGGATGTAGATATAGACTCAGTCTGGTGACACTGCTGTTGCTAAAATCTTAACTTGGCTACAATAATTATTGGTGTGTGAAATGCAGACTTAAGATAAAACACTGGCCACTTTGAAGACAGTCATGGAATTAGAAAAAAACATGATGATTAAGTTGGAGGAAGCCATGTCCTTTCAGTTGACATCATAGACTTAACAAATGCTGAAAGCTTCTTTGATTTTAAATTTCTAGTATGATCGTTCCAACTTCAGAGTGACCAGTGCTATGATTACTTCATTAGTGACTAACATTAGATTTAGGGTCTCCAGAGGACGTCATCCATAGAAATTACTTGGTGTGGCCTAAAAACTAATCTCTTCTCTTGTTGTGTAAATATTATAATTAATAATATTAAAGATGAACCTATTTCTAACAAGGGTTTACAACCCCCCCCCCCCGGGAGCTCTGTGCCCTAAGACATAATCTGTTCTCCTGTTGTGTGAATAATATTGTTAAACAAAATAAACCCGTTTCTTACAATTCTTTACCCCCTTTAGGAGCCCTGAGCGCCCCTCCCCCCCAGCCTGAGGAGCAGGAACCTGCCAAGGAGAGGAGGGGGCGGGGTCTGTTCGGGAAGAAAGACAAGAAGGACAAGGAGAAAGACAAGGAGAAGGCCAAGAGAAAACCCAAAGTGCAGATATAGATTAAGGCATTCCTTACAGACTGATGTCTATGTTCTTGTCGTTATAACAGGGTTTATAAATAAAAATTTTGTTTCTGAGTTTACCACTGGATATAAGACCATTACAACTGTCTGTCCGACACTCTTTATCAGAGATTAATAAGAAAATGTTTACATGGGATTTACAGAATGAGTGGTTAAGTTTGAAACATTTTTTTTTATTGATATAACCCTGATCTTTACAAATGTAACAGGATTTATAATAATTTATGGATGGTTGCAGGGGATACTGTCTTAATGTACATCTGCACAAAGATAACATGAATGTGTGTGTTTCACACAGGTACAAATGTATGGTGCAGCAGAATATACATGTACACAATGTATGCCCACTGATAGCATAGTTCTGTAAGGTAAAAGCCATTGAAAGTTTGGATGGGTATGTGGCAATGGTATTCTTGATAGAAGAAAATGTACTTATTTGGGGGTAGGGCATGGGAGGTAGAGTTTTGTTTCTAAGGCCACACCAATTTAATTTCTTGGTTAACGGATTCGCCGCTTCATTTTTTTCTGATTTGCAAATAAAAATAAAAATTCAGAATCAACTGCAAAATGATCATATTGTGCCCTGAACAGTTGAAAACAGTCCTTTTCATCCTAGTTGTTACAGTTATTCCATCTTTCAATGCAATGGTATCATTAAAAGTTCAAAATTCATTGTTTAAATTTTGAACCAGCCTGGTGTGTTGACTTCATGGCTCCTATCGTACCATTTTGGGCAATAATAGGATGCCTAGGCCTGTTTTTATTTTTATTTTTTTCGCCCGCCCGCTCCATTATTTTTCTAGAAAAATCCGTTAACCAAGAAATTAAATTGGTGTGGCCTAATGTGTAACAAGACAGGATTGGGTTTAGGTTGTGATATGGGCCTTCACATGTAGTCCCTAATTTATTACTGGTCCAATTCCTATTAACTGTAGACTGAAAAACCCTTGCCAGGAAATCAGAAAATTAGATAAAGTTTTAGTTTTCGCTATTTTTGTAAGCTGTCTCTACTTCCCAAAGTGCAGTTTTCATGAATTAACATGATGATGAAGTACATAGTCCTTACTATTATGAAAACCAGGGGCTCCAAAAGACTTAAGAATTTGCAGTCATTCAACAATTATGTGTATATTTTATTTCAGTGTTCTTTTGTGTATGTTAAAATCCCACCGTCCTTTTTTTTAGTCAGATGATGGCATTTAACTTGTACCTGGCTTCTGCTGCTATATTGTATATCTGGCTTGCACCGGCAATGCTTACTTCCTAGGAACTGCTGTAATATTATTGGTATGGATTTTTCATTCTGTACCTGATTTTTAGTTTGAAACTCTATAATTTCTACATGTACGTGTATTGGGTAAAAGCCACAACATTAGCACTGTTCACTAAAGAGCTGATGTATAATTATAAGTATGTATTTCTACGCCCTTTTCTGTGCAGCTTGAAATCTGTACTTAAATTTTTTATTATTATAAGTCGTTAAAAGGATGCTTGTAGAGCGAGCATCACCCACATATCACACACAAAATATTTTACGTTCTACAGTTGATGCTTTACCTGCAGTATCAGGCCAATATGGTCTCTATTCATGTTTATCACTATCCAGAAAAAAAGGTTGTTAAAATTTCATCAGAGATTGCAGCAATATAATATGCAGTACATAGAGTTAAAACATATTTACAAATGATTAATGCAGTTTTGGCTGAATTACCGTACACTGCAGTATGCTAAAGTATTGACTCCCAATTGCAGTATTATAATAGTAATTTATACAATCTGATATACCATAGTTGGTGCCAACTTTTACCCTTGCTTCACCATTTTAATTTGTTGGTTCTAATAATAGGATGCCTAGACCTACTTTTATTTCTTTTCTTTTTGCCCTGTCGCTTCATATTTTTTCTAAAAAAATCCAAGAACCAACAAATGAAATTGGTGTGGCCTTGTTGGGGTTTAAGAGTGTTGGTCGAGATGTGCAAAGCTTAGGTGTGATGGGTTAGCCCATTCTACATATATCCAGCTGCTGTCGCGTCACAATGCCTGCAAAACTAAGTGTGTAATGCAAAAGGGCAGTTATATCAGCTTTACAGATACATGTATTGACCTTCTTACTGTCCTCCCCAGGAAAAAGCAATGAGTACAGTTCAGTATTAATGTTAGGAAAGAGAAAATGAGGACAAGTTTGATAAATCTATTTCAGCCGTCATGGATGTGCTGTATACAAAAACCCACTGGCAGGATGGGGAAATGCTAGACATTACAGAGCTGCTGCTTGCACTGTGTCTTAAGTACAAACAATATGGTCTCGTACACAGTAACATGACCACACTGGTACTTTGCAAATAATGCAAGGTACGGTGACTTACAATGTAGGTAAACCTAAACCACTATTTACATATCACTGAGTAGATGTGTAGTACAGTGTAAGTAAAGCCATTCCTACAGTTCTGTAAATAGAAGCTTGATACAGTTACTGTAGTTAGAATGGATGGAATCACTGTAACTGTTTCTGAATGTAGAACCCACAACCCACATGTAGGTAACAGAAGTGCAGGAACACAACTGTACATGTAGACTGAAAGTCTTCACTACACAGTAACATGTACATGTACAGGACAGGACAAGCAAAATAAAATGGACGTAGTAAAAACCCTTCTGACTTTGTGTCCTTTTTCTTTTGTACATGTTCAAATATAAATACAGTGTATATAAACTAGAACTTCATAAAGCTTTGAGAAAAATATACTGGTACTATTATACTACATTGTAAGTGTAATACTGTGATGTAAGATATTGCAATAGAGACAATATTGTACAAAAATAAACTTGACAACAAGACTTAATACAATAAGACTTTTAGTTCTGTTAGTAATAATTCCAACTTGAAACAGTTACTTTGAACAACATATCAAACAAAAATATAAAACATGACTAAAACTAAAAGGCCAAACAGAAACTGAGCAGACAGTTTTCACATGCTGAATAGTAAGCAGTGCTACTGTAACTTACCTCAAACATAATCAACTCTGAAAAAAAACTATTCAACACTACTGAAATATAAAAAAGGTTCTTTAGTCATGGTAACAAGTCATGGTAAAACCTGGTTTAACCTTCTCCCTGCTGCCTAACCTTGTAACAAACACACGTGTGGTGCCAAATGGCAGGGGAAGGTTAAAAGATATATAGACATGTGTTTCAACACAAGTGCCTGATCTGAGATGCACACAGCACTACATGTTGTAGCTGCCTTTCCAAAAACTACATGTGCTTTGATGGCTGATCATGATTGTTCAATTTTGGAAGGCCTGCCGAAGCTGAAAGTCTATTTGTTGGATATAGGGGTTTTCTTGTACACGACCAAACTTGCTTACGTTTGAGTGCTTCTGACTGGAGTTCTGCTTCTCGCCACTATATGTAGGTGGCGCTTTTGTGACAAGAACACAATCCCAAGTTTGTATCCCCCCCATTATGTTTACAGAAGGAAAACATTGTTTTTGCTGTTTCTTCTTCCTCTTCTTCTCCAAATGAATAAGGTCAATGACCTGAACCAGATGTCTGTCACCATGGTAACTAGTCCCAGTTGGTTCGGTTGTGGAAAAGAAAACCCCAATATCCTACCCTCCATCAACCTGATGCAAAACTATTTTCGGAAACTCATTTTTTTTTATCAGCCTGCTTGCTCCAGCTCAGTCAGAAAGGCACACAGGCCCTCCTGGTCATTCTCATCTCCCTCCGGCTCTGCATCATCATCATCATCATCCTGCAGCTCCCCCTTTCTGTGGCCCGTGAACTGCAGCGTGACGGGCCAGTTCCTCTCCTGGGCACCGGCCTTGAACGACCCCTCCACAAACTGTCTGCCATCCCCGTCCTCCCCGACCCTCACTCGCAGGAGGCCGGTTACTCTGGGGGGATTCACACACAGTTGGTAAAAATAACTCTCACTCAAAGCAGGCCGGTTACTCTGGGGGGATTCACACACAGCACAGAAAGAGTTAAAGTAGGACTGTAGACTGTAATTTTCAACACAACACATTGGATACGCTGATGAAACTTAGGCATACAGGTAATGAAATACAAATAGTTATTCAGGCAACTGGACAGAGACTGAGACAAGTGGCGTGCTGCCATCAAGCCCCAGTTGTACTGTGCAAGCACGTCTAACCCTCGGAAGACGGGGAACAACAGACGATAAACCGGACAGTGAGTGAGTGTGAGTGGATAGACTTTCATTTGCTTGAGTAACTAACTGGTGTACAACACATTGGATTTAACCCAATTTTCTGGGTCAAGGAATGAATGAACCCTCCACAGGTATCAAACTAAAGGAAGACAGAAGAGAGTGGCCAGTGGTGCACACAAATCAAGACCTTGTAACATATTCAGTAATCTGCAGGTTGAAATTTATGGTTTACATAACTAGTGCATCAAAACAAAACTAAAACTAGAGAAGACATGTGTTTTACCTTCTCCCACAGACCTTCCAATGTGGCCTAACACATGAAAACTAGAGAACTAGCCTCGCTATGCCCTCATATGCACTTGCACAATCGGTTTCTAGAACCACCGGGCTGGACCTTCATCCACACCGGAGTTAATTTAATTCAATTTAATTTAATTCAATTTAATTCAATTTATTGAAATTGCAACAGTGCAATACACGCGAAACATAGGCAGCTGTTGCTGGTGTTGTGTCCCGCACATAGAAACAAATACTGGACAGACAATACTCATTTTCACTTGAGTCTAGTTGAGATCTGGAACCAACTCCCTGACACCGTTGTGGGTAACAACAACAACAACAATGGCCTGCAGTCCTTTAAAGTTAGAGTCCACCAACACCTCCTTCATTTTATATAACTCTTGGCAGCTGTGAGCCACTAAATTGTTTCTTACCATGTGTATGCACAATCAAGTGGGTATAGCTCACTATAGCATAGTATAAAAAAATAGCATCAGATGTTTTACCTTCTCCCACAGAACTTCCACTTGGTCTCTATCTGCATGACCCTGTCTTCCACGCTGCTCTTCCCTTTGAAGTTCTGCAGGCCGCCGAAGTAGACTCCGTCCCCGAAGTCGACGTAGTCTTCGTAGTCATCGAAATACGGCCCGCCAACCTCACCCATCTTCAGCTTACCTGTGGTACAGACTTCAGCTGAGTTTTCTGGTTGGGAATAGCCTGGCACTAGCCTGGCACCACACTAGCTCCATATCACAACAATTGCTACTCTGGACAGAATCATCTGCATGCCCCCCCCCCATCCCCATTGCAATGTTTCGGCTCTGCATTATTTGGGGAATTGAATATTTCTCACAGGCCATGTACAAGATTATTCAAATGCCAGCCACTTCATTCTAAAGAGGCTCATCTAAGGCAGAGTCCATAGAGTAACATTTAAGCTTGATTCAAACGTTATGAATTTTCAGTTGATTGCAAAGGCCTTCTTCATAAGTGTTCCTGCTCCCAGATTCCTGTAAGTCAGTGCAGTTATATAATCAGTCATCCAACACTACATGGAAAGACATGTCAAGTACCGACCTTTCATCCCCTTGACCTTGGGATGGTTGGAGGTGACCTTCAGCTCCCATTCCCCATCGATGCCAGAGTTCAGCTCTGTCTGCCGGGCCTGGCTGGCCGCGGCCTGGGCAGCCTTTTCCGCAGACCTCTTCAGAGCCTCGTCTGCAATACATTGTACATGTAACATAGAATAGCTCAATGTACAAGGCATTAACATGGGTTTGACTCTAAAGCTGCATTCTGGGCTTGGACATTGTGTCC